TGGTTGTTGCTGGAGTAGAGGCAAAGTGCCGAGAATTATCAGAGCACATTGGAGGGTGGGGCGGACTCTTCCTGGGGCCATGGGTGAGTCTTGGAAGAGTTGACAAGTCAGAGAAAGGAGTGGGTGGAAGGGCAGGGGAATGGAGAGAAGAAGGCATGTCAGGCAGAAGGAAGTCATGTGACAGGCACGCCGGTCTGAAAGGCCTTGGCAGATCTGGGGAGAGTTTAGTGTGGACGGAGTGGTTAGTCACTCAGGGGAGAGAAGGCGGGAAAGGAAGGTTGGGGGGAGATCATGAGTGCTCTTGAGCGCCACCCACGCTAGAGGACTTTATTGCAGCAGTATTGGAAAGTCACCGATGGGTTTTGATCAGAGATTAGGCATTAAATCTCCTCTATTTTGGGAAGTCAACTCTGAATGCAGAGATAGTGGATAGTCTGGAGGGGTCACTGGACACCCAAGGGAGTCGTGTGTGCACCAGGACGAGGCAGGCCCAGCTGAGCATCAGCTGGCTTTCCACGTGTGACCCACCCCCGATGTGGAGTTCCGCTCCAACATACAGGACATTCTGGTCCGGGACATGCAATACTCTTCTGAGCAACTCTTGTTCCCTCAATTTCTCAAAGACTTTCATCTCCCATACTCAAATCCTGTGTTCTCATGTGTGGAATAAGCTCCATGGACGACCTGGGACCCTGTATATGTAGCAGCCTAACATCATGTGAGCACAACCAAAGCCTTCTAAGAACCTCTCACTTTGGTGCCACCCACATTCTACTTTTATATTCTCAAATTGATGCCCCAACCCAGGGAAGACTCTTGTGACTAGCATCTCCCACACGGCAGCAGTGACCTTAAGTTTCTCTAGGCTCGTGGACTGCCATTCAAGGGTTCTGTTTCTGTAGCTGGACATGGAGCCCAGGACAGCTAAGAACCAGGATCCTCCTCCAGGAGCTCAAGGGAGGGTCTTACAAGAAGCTATACAGGTCACCCCAGAGTGGATTCCACATGATTCCTGTCCAAGTGCCAGGCTGCCTGGAATCTGACCCCCTAGGGATGGCAGCTTCATGACGTGAGGTCAGCCCAGAAAATTGAAAGCTTAAGAGACACACAGACTGTGTCTTGGGAGGAATGATGTCCCAGGAGCTGGAACGACGGGCTTCCAATTCCATCAGAGACTATGGCTTGAAGGAGATGATCCTTCCAGCTATATAGCCTAGGATGACGACTCAAACCTCTTTCCTTAGACCCTTCGATAGATGGCGTGCAGATAGGGAAGCAGAGGCTGGGAACATTCTGTTGATGCTCAGCCTTTAAATAAAGGTGTTGAACACGCAGGCCTCCACTGCTCCTCGACAAAGTGACCACAGCACAAGTCCACACGACAGGCACTGGACAAATGCCCACCTTGGGGATGCCCACACCGTGGGGGCTACAGTCAAAGGGACTGCCTGTAGGTGGCGAATACACAGAGATGCCTCAGAGGCGATGGACCCCGTGACTTGGTGACATCCCAAAGCAAGGCCTTTCACTGTCTTGTAGCTCCATGGGTGGAGAATAGGCTGGGGGGAGTCTCAGGAGCCAGTTCATCTCAGTCTCCCCCCTAAACACCGGGGAGTTAGTCTGGAGGGCTGGGAAAGGCCAGGGGGTATGATGAAAAAACATTCGTTTCTGTTTCGTGAAGGTTGACAGGAAGACTAAATGCTGAGAACTCATTCCACTTAGGAATTCTCCACGCTGTTTTCCCGGGATTCCTCTGAGGATACAATCACCGCTGCCAACATCACTCACCAAGGGCTACTGTGTGCCAGGCGCTCTCCTGGGTGCTCTGTGAGCTGAACTTTTTTCTCACAGCAACCTTGCAAAAGACTGTGAGATGAGAGGGTGCCCATTTTGTAGATGAGATTAGGTGGCTCAAGGTCACATACTAGGTAGCAGAGCAGGGTTCTACCCCAGGTCTTGCAGGTTCTTTGCCCTCGATATAACCTTAAACTTTGCCATATTGATGACAACAGTCCTGGGTTTCCATAGTCACCATCTCCACACAAGTCCGTGGAAAAGTCTAAGGATGGAAGGCAAGGACTGGATCCCCTTTCTACTCTCTCAATCATATACCTTGGAGGGCCACATTCTCGCAGGGCCTGTGCACACAGGTGGATAAAGGTAGAGTTGATTCCACCAGCCAGAGCGCCTGGAACCTTGAGGCTGGTGGGCCTTGTTGGACCGGTCTCAGCACTGCAACCCAAACTCTCAGAATGTCCAAGCTGCAAGGACCTTGAGAGACAAGTGAGCTCCCTTCACGTGACCGGGGAGGAAACTGACCCAGGAGGAGGACGTGAATTACTCAAAGCCTCACAGCTATTTAGAATCATTGTGTGTGCATGACTGTGTGTGTGTGTGTGTGTGTGTGTGTGTGTGTGTGTGTGTGCGCGCTGGAGATAGCAGTCGGGGCCGCCTAACTCCTAGGCCCTGTGAATGAGTTCAGATGAGAAGGCCTTGGAAACTTTGTCCGTATCCAGAGGGGTGGCCCACAAACAAGACTATTTTAAAATTGTGTTTTGTTTCAACAGAAGTGGTTTATTTGGGACAAGGTAACTCTAAGAAGTGTCAATAGGGGAGCTGGGAATGAGACACAGAAAAGAAGGAAGCCAATATATGTTCATTAATGATCAGGTCATTGCTTTGGCCACGTGGGGCTCCACTGTGCTGGGCACTTTGGGGAGATGGCATGGGGTGCCTCTGAGTTGTTTTCCCAAAGGGAAGAGGAAGCTGGGACGCTTATCTACCAGCCTCTGTTGTTGCTGGTTGAGCTCTGCCATTGAGTGGCATCAAATCCCCAGAACCTCTCGCCAAGTACACTCCAGCAATCCGAGAAAACAAAGGGCTACCTTTAAAGGTGTCTGTAGCCCTGAGTAGCCAGCAGTTCTCTACAGAGTCTTGAAACCTTTCGGGGTGGAGAGGCCTTGGGCATCAGTACCAAGGGCAGTGGTAGAAGAGATGGATGACCGAACAGGAGATGGAGAAGACCGAATGTTGCCCTCCAGGGCCCCGAGCAGGCTGTGCCCAGAGGGAAAGGACTGTTTGCATGTGCCCTGCAGGAGGAACGGGCATATACTGTAGGCAAGAGGAACTGAAATTAGAGCTTTAAAAGGACCTCCTGGTGATACTAATTTTTTAAAAAAACATCAGCTATCTAAAGCTCATCCACCTAAGTAGCCTCCTTGGTGACGACACAAGAAATAACAGACCAGAGGAATATACAGTGGCAAGGAGGGTGCCTTAGGGGGTTCGAGGTTCCCGGTTCCAGAGCAGGCCAACGAGCTCTCCTTTTATCTGGGGGATGCTGGGAGGACAGGTGGAGGTTTAGTGAAGAGAGGGTTCTTTACTCTGCCCTTGGCTTTCTTAGCACCTGGAGGCGCCAAAGTTGGGCGGAAGCAACAGGGAGAGGTCTCCTCTCTGGTATGATTTGGAGCATCTTACATGGAGGCAAAGCCTTGGAAAGTAAGCTCTCCACAATTAGGGCCACCCCACCTCCCTGGAACCCTGCTCCTCGTCTGTGAAAAGGGGAGCTTGGAAGACTGAACTAGATGACCTCAGGATCCTGACCTGTCACTGTCCACTTCAGAGGTCATCCTCTGGCCCTTGGGTTCTCTTCAGCTCTGTCGTCAGCAAATAGTTCTGAGCACTCGCCCTCTGCCCAGCACTAAGCAGGGGAGGGAACCAAGTGGAATCTTGGCCCTGGCCTCTGGGAGGGGACAGGTGGGGAAATGGAGTTAATGTTTACTGAGCACTTACTCTGCCAGGCACAGTGCTGAGCACCTTACATATGCTGACTCCTTCACTGCCCCCCATAACCCAGGAAGGTAGGTACTAGAGCCTACATTATACAGATGGGGAAACCAGGGCTCAGAGAAAAAGCAACTTGACCAAAGCCACACAGGGGCAGAGCTTGGGTTTGAGCCCACCCCGGGAGCCACGATACTTCTCCTCCTCTGTGAAACAGACAGTGGCCTCTAAGTGAAACTCCTTGTATTCCAGCAGATAGGGCAGTGAAAGCTGGAGTCACCTGGGGAGGCTTCACGGAGGAGGCGGCTTAGTACTAGGCCTGAGGGAAGGGCAGAACTTGGAGGTTGACTGGGGAAGGGAGCGACCGAAGTGCGCTAATGCTCCAGATCAGGCTGGGGTGTGGTGTCCAGCTAGCAGGTGTCTTCTTACTGTGGGCAGGTAGGAGCAGCTGTAGCTCAGCCTGCTGGTGGCTTCATGGGAGAAGACGAGGGTCCAGGGAAGAATAGAGGCTTCCCAAACCCAGCCCCCCAAGAACCTTCCTCTTGAAAAACACAGCCCGGAAATGCTGGCGTCCCCCTGCCCTGGAGGGGCTTTGTGCCCAAGCCGGGCCTATAAACACCACTCCTTCCCGGACTCATTTGGACAAAAGGTGGAGCCAGTTCAGTGTGGGTCAGCCTTCTCCCAGCTACCGAAGCCAATGGCCGGCCAGCCAGCCCCCTGACAACTGTGATAGTTAGGACATGCACAGCAGTTATCATGAACCAAGCACTGATTTAAGAATGTTAACTAACGTAAGCCTTCCGACATCCCTATGAGGCAGATACTATTGTCATGCCCATTTAATAGATGGGGAGACAAGTACGGTGAGGTTAAGTAATCTGTTCAGAGTCCTACAGCTAATAAGAGGCAGAGCCCACATTTTAACTCAGTCATTCTACTCTTAACCACTCTGCTCTACTGCCTCTAAGCAGAGGTTGGTGAGCTCTGGCCAGAGCTGCTTCTGCCCTCTGTGTGGGATACCCTCCCCAAGTTTAGGTCCTCCTTCTTGCCTGGGGCTATTCCCTGCCAAGATAGCCCCTCCCTAGAGGGGACTGCAGGAGACACCTCCACTAGAAAGGCCCACTGCTGCAGAGTGCCCAGCTTGCCCCCCTCCCCTGCACCCACATGCACCCTGTCCTCCTCTCCCCCAACCGAGCACCGTTGCCTTTTGTTCGCAGTGACGGCTCCTGTGCCCAGGCCAGTGGGGGCATGGAGGACTCCGTGGTGGCAGCAGCAGCGGTGGCAGCCGGCAGACCCAGTGCCCATGCCCCGAAGGCTCAAGCCCAGGAGCTGCAGGAGGAGGAGGAGCGGCCAGGGACAGGGGGTGCCTCCCCGAGGGCTGGCCCCCACCGTGGGGCCTCCCCTGGCCAGCAGCAGCCTGCCTTGGCGACAGCGCTCTGCTCCCACGCCCCTGCTGCCTCCGATTACGAACTCTCCCTTGACCTAAAGAATAAACAGGTACCCAGGGCCTCCAAGGGGGGTGGGCAGGGTGGTGAAGGGCCCTGCCTTTGGGAGCTGTCCAGGGTACCAGGGATCTCCCCATCCGGGCCCACCTCTGCTGCAGCTACACCTCTTTTGCCACCAATCCTCTCAAAATGAGCAAGGTCATCTGCTCCCCCCTGCAGCCCAGCGTCTAACGCACCAGCCTCTACACAGAAGGGTCACACCCTTGCAATGTCAGGCCCTTCGGCTACATGTCCAGGGCTCTGCTCTTGTCGCCGTGGGCAAGAAGCCTAAACTGCCCCACAAAGCATTAGGCAAGTGGCCTGTCGTTCTCTGGGGAAGTCCCACCTCCACTCCTTTCTTAGAAGAGGTAGCCCAGCTCACAGGCCCACTCAAAGGGTAAGTCCCATGCCTAGCTGCACACAGGCTCAACTGAGGTTCAAAGACAGCAGTCTCCCGGAAGACTGAGGATTCCTGAGAGTAACTCGATTAGGAGATGTCCAAAGCTTCTCCTGTGGGAGAACAAGTCCCATTGAGGGGTCATGGGCCAAATTTTCTATTCTGTGAAGCAAGAGGAGAAAGTGGTCCGTCACAGGGTCCTCATTGAAGACCCCCCCAAAGATAATGCCACAGTTTTTTTGGTGGACAATTAGGAGACCGGAAAAAAGATCACTATGTGTGTATAGGTGTGTGTGTGCCCACATGCACACGTGGGTGAATGTACTTAGAGAAAGACTTTATGATTTGATGTTGTAAGAATCAGCCTTGAACTTGGAGCCCTAGCTAGGGCATCCCGTCTCTATTCTTGCTCTAGTTAACTCTGTGACGTCAGGAATTCCAGTTAAGTACTCTGGGCATTGGTTTCTCATCAGCAAAATTGGGAATCAGATCTTGAATCATCTCTGAGATCCCTTCTGCTCTGAAATGAGTGTGCTAAGAAAGCAATCTTTACTCCAGTAGGCAAGGTGAGTCTTGGGAAGGGAAGCCAGTAGAAAGGCCGAGAAGACTGAGTCAAGCCCAACCAAGCCCATTTCTTCCTTTCGGCATCAATGCAAGGCTACTGTCCTGGCTCGGGGCCAGCTGTAGCTCAGTGCCATTGGCTCTCAGGGAGCATGTGACAAAATCTCATGATATCTACGTAGGCATGATAGAAAGTAGACTAGATCACCATATATCCGGGTGGGTTGTTCTCAAACAGAATTCTCAAACACGTTTATTTTTCCATCCGTGCCAGTTCCCAGGTGAGTGGGGTGCTGTCCTTGGTCCTCGGTTCAGTCGTTTTAACAAGGCACTACTTTCTGATGACACAGCTAACAGGGGACAGCTAATACCTTGAGGACAGAATCCAGGACAGAAAGGTAGTTGAAGTGAAATACATTGAATTAAATAGGGAAAAATCTAAAGTTCGGCTCTTGGCTTTGCAAAGCCCAGAGCATTGGTGTAAAAGGGCAGGCGAGGTCCGGGAGAAAGGCCCGAGGGCCTCCGTTCACTGTAAGCCGAGGAGGAGTCGGCGGCCCGAGTAGTGAGCACAGCAGCTTCCCCAAAGGGTCGGCGAGGCCCCGGAACCAGGAGCAGCCGGCCGGGGCCCCACACGGGCTGCTGCTCAGGCCTATGTGCAGCCTGTGTGAAGCAGGGAAATGAGAATCCTCGGTTCTCCTCACAAGGAAACCAGAACTGGCTGGAGCCACGTGGAGAAACTGTAGACATGAAGACAGGCTTTAAATATGGAAGACCTGGCATGTGATACAGGGATTAGAGGTCTTTTCCATCATTTCAGGGAAAATGGCGCTACCAATGAATGAAAGCCATGGCAGAGGAAGATCTCTGCTACAGACGCAGAATGTCTTGCTTGTGAGGTAGAGTTCTGGTCCCTGGGAATGCCCAGGCAGTGGCTGGCACAGCCCACCTGAACACGACAGTGTGCTCAGAGTGGCCTTGGCCTGGACGAGGGAGTCCTGTCAATTCCCCATGACTCTGCTCCTTGGGGACAGAGACCATCTCTTATTCATCTTATTACCTTTCCCTCAGCATCTAGCAGAGTGTCTTGGACACAGTAAGCACCCAGTGAGCGGGCATTTTTGAACAACTATGATGTGCCAAGCAACAGGGAGTGGGGGACAAAAAGAAGAGAAGCGTGGTTCTTACCTGCCCCTCAAAGAGACTACAGTTCAATTTAAGGAGTGTTCGGTTGATAACAGCGAACACTCATGCTTCAGCTTGGGCAGAAAATTACTTCAATCCTGATGATTAGCTGGGAGACGGAGTTGCACGGGTTCTGATTAGCACCATGGAGCGTTCATAGTGGACATAATTCTAATAGACAGGTGTGCATGTCAGGCCAGCGGGAATGGGCAGGAAAGGTGAGGGTTAGTAGGGGTGACGGGGTCCGCATGCTAGGTGCACCCAGCCCTGGGAGAGAGCTCACCTCCCCTGGCTCATGTATCTCTCTGGGCCACGCATACGCTGGGGGTGGGAGGAAGGGGGAAAAAGGGATTGACAGGCATGAGCAAAGTGATTAAAAACATGGCAAACATTGACTAGAAACGGAGCTCTGCTCCTCTCTCTTCTGCAAATGAGCTGTGGGACCTTGGGCAGGTTGCTTGACCTCTCTGGGCCTCATGGCCTCATGTCTCTTTGGGGCTTCGTATGTGCTGTTCCCTTTGCCTCCCCTGCTGATGTCCCTCCTCCCTCCATACTCCTGCACTTGGCCTCCATCGCTCCTTCTCTTGCTTTGGGGCTCACTTCTGGTGCCCCTTCCTCCTCCTGTCGGCTTTCCCTGCCCTCCCAACACTGCGCCGATGCTCCTCGGCCATGCCACGGCCCAGGCCTTCCCCATCACCCCACATCATCGTTCCCTGTTCACTTGGCTCCCCTTTGGAAGCAGGGCACCTGACATATCCCCAGCGCTGGACACAGTGCCTGGCATGAAGAAGGTGCTGAACGATGAAAAGGGGAAAATAATAACTCAGTGACCTGAAGGGGGGTGGGGAGGGGCAGGAAGGCTTCAGTCAGGACCTAACTCTACTGTAGTTTGCTTTGAGATCTAGGCTTTAGTACTGTGGTCCGTGATCTCCACCAGTCACATAAATCCTGTAGTCCTTGGGCTGGAAGGACCCTCGGACAATCATTTCCCCAGTCCACCAACCTGCCAGCCCTGCTCCATCAGCCAGGCCAGGATCCCAGTCATTTTCTGTGGCTCCACAAGTCCCACCCTCTCCTGCCACCCCCTGTCCCGCTCTAGGCCAACCCCCCATCATCCCTAAGCAAACCCCACAGATCTCCCTGCTTCGGGCTGTGCCTCTTCCAAGCTAATCTCCACCCTGCAGCGGAGTCCTCCTTGTAAAGAGCACATCTGATCACGGTACTCCCCCACGTGAACGCCGTCCATAGCTCGCATGTGCAGGACAAACCCTCTCCAGCCTCTTCTGTCACCCCACGTCCTACCCACTCTGGTTCCAGCCATTCCTAGTTACCTTTCCTGAATCTCCATGCCAGCCTTCGCCTCTGGGCCTCGGCTGGGAATGCCCTCCACCTGTCCCCCAATCACCGTCACTGCGGTGACGTCCCAGCCCAGCTGTCCCTGAGCTTGGCGGTGCTTTTCCTGAGCACCCCGCTGCTGGTGCTGTGCTGTCCGGTGGCTGCCCCGCTCCGGGGCAAGGACTGCGGTTCTCAGGGCTCGCACAGAGTTGAGCAGGTTGTGCACCAAACACGTCCAGGGGTGCTCTTCACCTCATAGTCTGTGTGAGGAGCAAACACGCCCTGGAGCTGGGCACCGGGTGCTGCCCTGCCCTTGCCCACCGTGGTTTTCCTACACCCAGCGCAGTCCCTGGTGCCTGGGAAATGCTCAGTATTGGAGGAATACGTGCATGAATGAATGAACGAGGCCCGCCCCAGGCCTCCCTGCTCTCCCTGCCCCGTTCCCGTCCCCCTAGTCGGAGCGAGCAGGTCCCCCCCCCGCACAGCTTCTCTGTCTTCTGCTCCCCCTCCCCTTGCTCACTTAACCCCCCAGAGATCCTTGGAGCTACTACCTTGGAAGATAGTCAGATCCCTTGGTGGGGGGTCCTTTAGAAAAGTGGCTGCGGCAAGGATATCGAGGGCACAGGAGGATTTCCAAATTCTTTCAGGCTCTAGAGAGCTGCATCCTGTTCCGGCCGCCATGGGAGCAGCCCAGTGGAGCCCACCTCAGACGTCTGTGCTGTCCAACCAGGGCCATGGGCTGGAGTCAGTGGCCTCCAGACGTGCTCCCCAAGTTAGGGTCCTAGGTGGAAGCCATGTCTCCTTCTGGAGAGCAGCCCCTTCCCCAGTGGACCCCCTAGACCCAAACCGCAGAGCCTAGCCTCACTGTGGCCTCAGTTTCCTCACTTGTGAAATGAGGGGTTGTACCAGACATGTCTGAGGACCTCACTCCGAAGAGGAGAGCTCTCCCGCGGGCATGGGGCCCCCGGGGGACCAGCTGACCACAAGGCACATCGGGTTCCCTCCCCTCAGTTGCATTCAGTTCGGGGAACAGTATTACACAGCTGCTCTGTCCAGGGCCTGTGACAGGCCTGGGGACACCACGGTCCCCGTGCTCAGGGAGCCCGCGTTCCAGTGGCGGGCACCGACGTGTAACCAGTACTAGCTGGCACAGAGGGCACTGTGTTGGGCACAGTGCTGGGCATTTTCCATGCATGATTTCCTCAGATCTGCACCATATCCAAGGGAGCTGGGTAGGTACTGTCACTCTCCCCACAGAAGAATCGGAAGACTAAGGCTTCGTGATATAAAGTAACTTGCCCGAGGATGCATTCTGGGTATGGGTCATCCCTCACGCAGCCAACACGTGGACCCCACAGTCTGGGATGTTAACCTGGCACCTGCCACTATCTCCTCTGTTAGGGTGAAGGGTAGGTCCAAGGAAGTGGCACCCAGGGCACTGGGGGAACATTGAAGAGGGCATCCACCCAACCTGGGGTTCAAGTAGGCTTCCTGGGGTTCAAGGTGCAGCTCCCCTGAGGGAGTCTCTGTGACCTAGG